ACTTAAACTTGGACAACCATCACAACTATCGTCAAAAATGTACAAGTATTTCCAAACAGTTATCTATATAAGTTAGTCAATGTCCGTTGACCGGATACCATCAGCAACAACCTACTATGGGAGAGATTAAACCAATTTCCAAATGAAGAGCAAATTAGGAAAAGGCATACATTACGAAAATCATCAAACTGCATCACGAGGCAAGCCCTAACTTGTAATCCAGAAGGGAAACGGAAAAATGAGTGACAAAAGAACATAATGAGTCTACAATTGGAAGCAGACATAAAAAAAATAAGTATCAGTAGGAAACAACTGTAAAAGATTGTCCGGTACAGAGTTGGATGGAGAATGTTTATGGGAGACCTATGCTCCTCCACGAGGAGTAATAGGCGTAGATAAGTAAGTAGTGGTGATCATGTGTCCAGTAGTGACTAATTTTAAGAAGCGATTCTCAGAGTTCTAGTAGAAAGTTGTGACTTGTAGATTTCAACTATGTTGAAAGCGAGACAGTTAAGCTTGTATGACGTTGAACAATGGGCGCTCAATATCATGAATTAATTAAGGTCCGACATCTAAACTGTCGGATGTTATCCTAGTGGTTTAAAGTTTTTATACAATCATCATGAAACATGATGGTCCTCAGTACCAAACCTAATATGATGATAGATACTCAGTACTGAAAAGTTTCATTTCACCACGAAATAATCATCTAATGGTTCTTAGTTTTGATCTGATATCCTAACTGAGATCATGCTAAGAAGAATACAACCTAAGAGTTTTAAAAGTGGTTTGAATTGAAGGTGTATGAAAATCAGTTTAATGTGAACTGTAAAAATCAGAAATGTTAATTATGAAAGGAAATAGGATGGTAAATTGATATGGGGAAATCTACAATGTTTATCCTAATTTCTTTAGTGGCCAGTTAACCCATAAAAAGTGTTGATTCTATACTGTTCAATATTTAAAATTTACAAAATGCTACAACTTCTGTATTTGGATGAAGTTTCAATGGTATTACGGGTTACTTTATCACTATCACTAATTACATTCTGGATTCTGTGAATAATTGGATTTGATTGCATTATCTTAAGAGAAATTATAGGGAACTAGAGTTTCTTCAAGAATTTACAAATGAATTTATTTGAGATGAGTTTACATTTCGACTCTAAAGTTAACTGATATACTTTTTTTTCTACATAAAGGCAAGTGAATTTGTGTTTAGCACATAGGAATAATGAAGGTTCAGTAATTGAAGCATTTAATTATTAACAGCTAACTCTGCTTTAAAAACCGTAATACACACTTGTTTCAGCAAACAGATAGTATCATCAATCGCTAAACAAAAATTGTACCTTAAATATAAGTGAGAGTCGATTTATGATACAATGATCCATCAAATTTAGTTAACATTATACCTGGTAACAATATCTTCGAATGATATTCGTTTATACTAAAGTAAAAGTGATTGTATGATGAATTGTATTATGAATCAATATATTATCAGAATCATCTAAGCTACTCAAGATGGTGGAGGTTTAGTTTATGTATGTGTTAGGATAGTCGGAAAAATATACCAATAATTAATCGTGTTAAGTCTATGGTGACCTTGGACCTTAAATGTACATTTCCTATTGGTCGATGTTTATTTCACTTGTTAAATATTGTGTAAATGTTGTTCTCTATTTTATGGTACGATGTGGTTTGTTTGGTTAGTATATAAATAGAGTATGTTTGAAATACAATGATTCATAACTCAGAGGCTGTGACTTGTGTTCTTGACTCAACTGGCTAGGACAGACAGCGAAGCAGGGCCAATCAGGGCACTAGGTCGTCCTTACGTGTTTACGTGTCACTGTCCACTGTAATCGATCAATAAAACGCTGCGTATCATAACCTGCAGTCCACCCGTTACAACAGTATGGTTGTCAATCTTTTTATTCAATCGGTTTTTCTACCGTTAAGTACTAGGTTGTTGTAGTGTGATGTGTGTGCTACTTATATTGATATAAGCAGTATATGACCTTAGTCGTGAACGGAATGTCTGGCAGCAGAGAGAAAAGAGAATCTTTGATTTAGTTTCTAAGGTGAAATATATAAGTTTCATCTAAATCACGAACTAATCAATATTAGACCACAATTAAAAACCTAGAAGCACTGGACGCCCATTTTGTCTTAACATGAAGCTTCTTAGTAGTACGCAACCACGATCCCGTAAACTGGGATTGAACCCAGAATCTTCAGTTTCTTGCGTAAAAGCTTAACTTCTAGACCTTTAGAGAAATCTCTGCAACCCCATATTAGAATATATATGAACTTAAAAAGGGAAACGGATGATATCTCACCTCTTGACTCTTTCCTAACTAATTTACATTGATAGTACTTTCATTATCGTTGACTGACATATTAGATAAAGGATACCTGAGCACTGATCACCACGTCGCGCAATACTGATTATTGTTGATGATGGTTAGAAGAAAGTTAGGGGTGGCCAAACCAAAACGTGGCATCAGTCCACAAATTCACTAACATCTAGTCTGAGCCTTGTTTGTAAATGCAGACTACTTGGTTAGGGTCAGTATGACTATCGTAACCAATGGTTGGTAACTCTGTGTGACATGACTCAGAATCTATCATAATGGCGTAGGTGTATACACCATTTTTCTTTTCTTAAACTATGAGATTAAAATAGCTTTATATCTTTCTTTCTACCAAATAATTATTTCTTCCTGTACTATATCTTTATGTGCAGTCTTTCTTTTATATATTACCACCATTGAAATAATTACTTCTATGAATTTGGTGTTAACCTTGTTGTACCAATGAGGTATGGCAACTTGGACCGGTACATATATGTGCCTGGTCCTACGTTGTAGCTGACTGACTGGTTGATTCACCTAGATTTTGTGCTAACTGGCATTCATCAGTTAAGAGTACCTGAAACCTTCAGGGAATTAATACTCCTTATATCATTGAAACCTACAATAACCAGTTCTATATTGTGAGATGTTACCACTGAGTCATTCGAACAGTGACTGACTTTCTGCAGAACTGATATATTAACGTTAGTCAGTCATTGAGTGTTGATAAATCAATGTAAATGAAGATATTGTGGTCAGTGGTTACAACATTATTAAGTAATCAATCAGTTATATATTTAACAGTTTCTGGTGTTTAAATTATCAATAATTTTGATGGAGTTTTGTTCTGTGAGATGGATGGTTTGGTTGTGGAGCTTCCATTGTTCTTCTGAATGACATAATCAGCAAAAACTTCACGTGGAAGTGAAGTGTTCGAATTTCTCCACAAATGGTCAGTGTTTACTTCTTTGTTTTGGTTGTATCTCTCGATGGGAAATATCAAAGAGCAAAGCTGCATCAAAATCATCCACCTGAACTACATATCTTCTCCGCCATCTCAATTATCAATAATAAGTAAATATAATAGTGCAAACCCACTAAACATTATTTTGTACAGAGTCATCAGGGTTGAACAACGTAATGTTCCTATGTATGTAGTAATATGACAAAAACTGATTATAATGTAAAATGTAAAAGATCACATCTATATTTATAGTTAGGAAATAGCCATTCTAGGTATACTACATACAAAAAATGACAGTAGATTCGTCATTAAGAAGGAACTTAAACACAAAATGTACTTGGACTAGACAATACATAGATTTATAAGCAAAGATAAATAGTAGCTATTTGTGCAATCTAGGACGTGCTTTCCGTCTTCTTTAGGACTTGTCAGCTGGATGTAACTGCATCTCAGAGTTGATGTTCACTCATCAATGGAATGATTCAAGTAAAACAGCATCAAGTGAAGTTAAACTTGACCCCATTGCACAAGCATGTGACTATCAGGACTCAGTAACTAAGTGGATATCGCGACGGCATTTGAAGTGAATTTTACCAGGCTCAAGTTATAGAATGAACATCAACCCTGAGATGCAGGTACATCCATCTGATAAGTCACAAATAGGACGAATCATAAATCCTAGATTCCACTGCTAGTCACTATCCATCTAGGCTTATAAAGTATGTGACTTCAGATAATATCGAGGTAATCCGTACAGTATGCATACATACCAATAAGAGACTGATCAGTTGTAGTCCTAAACATCAATGCAAAGATTTAAATAAACAATACCAAGTAAATTTCATACATAGATTTTCTTAGGTTTGTTCCACTACAAGCTAAAAGAAACCTTGTTTTAGTCACTTCAAACTATATACTACTCAGATACAATAATAGAAGCAACATATATATTGCGTAATACTTTTAAAGGAAATGAATACTCTGAGAAATTTTATAAATAAATACTTGATCAATGAAACAGAACAAAAGAAAAAAGAAGTTTTAACTGCAAAACAAAATGTCTCTGTTTCTGGCTACCAGGATTCGAACCTGGATTAGTGCGGCCACAACGTAATGTCATAGCCACTAGATGTGATACATGTAGAGAAATATTGAGGCTCAAGTTATATAGATGATATGATGATTACATTTGATAAATGTACATAAAGCTTTACTGTTTTACATTTTTATACTCTATGAAATTGCATTCACATCCACCCCCTATCCATTATCTCTTATCTAATTCATATTCTTGTAAATATTGGCGTAATTCTTGATTAGACATTTATTGGAATTTAGTGTTATACTTTTATTTCTCTATCATTCCCTGTTCTGATCTTTTCAAATAGTAATACTTTTCATTGAAATCAAAGTACAATCGAAGTTGAACAACTGTTGAAAACCTGGAAGCATTGGCTAGCTGTTTTGTTCAAGTATGAAACTTCCCAACAGTGCATATCTACGATCTTTCAACCGAGAGTCAGACACAGGCCTTTCAAGTTTGATTTCTGCTTGCAGTCTCGTAGATATACACTGTTGAAGAGCTCTATACTACTTCCAGATTATTAACAGTTGGATATTTTCTATTACGTAATATCTATATTTTAAATAATAAAATAAATTTTCATCTTATCTCTTACCTTTTACCATGTATAGATCTAGGTGATAATGGTTCTGACCGTACTCTGTACACTGTACTTTTTGATCTTGGACTTGTAGAATTAGTTAATTCTGATGGAGTTGGTGTTGGTGCTAATGATTGATGATAAGATGAATAAGGTTGTCGACTATTATCTGTAAAATGATCTATAGAATTTGACCATGGTAAATCAATTGTAGGATAATCTATACCATTTGTAGAATGATGTAATAGATTTTTATGTGAATGATGATTATTTGTTGAGAATATTCCATTTTCATGATGACCATTTAATTGTGGAACTGTTTCTGATCGATTTATTGGTGTTCTTCTAGTTGAACTACTTATAGTACTCCATGCTGATGTACGCTGTTCAAATGGGACAAATAAAAAAACTATGATCAACTGCCATTCATATTCATCTGTAAGTGTTTATGATTTCTTATGTTCAAATGACATCTCTTTTCAGACAAAAAAACCTCTTCTGATATTAATTAACATATGTTTACTAGTGACTGTCTCCAAGAGGTATTTCCTGAAGTTCTAGTGAGAAACAGTGATCAGTGGAATTCAACCGGGTCTGTTATGAGATAGTAACTCACTGAAGACAATGGTAGATGTGTTGCTCAATTTCGTGAATCAGTTGATGTTAGATATCAAGGCGATTGGATGCCGACCAGCTCAGTGGACTAGAAATTAAGCGCTCGCGTGTGAGACTGATAGGTCGTGAGTTTGAATCTAGCGAGTCATGATCGTGAATTCACACTGCTCAGGAGTCTCACAATAAGACGAGGCGGCCGTCCAGTGCTTCCAGTTTTTCCATGGTTATCTAGCATCAATTGACTCATGATCTCAACTAATAAAATATGTAATACACGAATTCAGCATTTCTACAGAGGAGGAGGAGGAGAAAGACAAATATGAACCACCGTGATGCCATAGTGGACGAGAACATAAGTGGGGACAATCAACCATGTTTGGACGCAGAATTACAGAACGTCTTAGTAAAATCTGAGAATCATACAGTTAAATACTTCATTTGTAAAATGTTCATTAATTGCCTCGGACTTCATTGTTCCTTTATTTCCATCCCAATCGCTTTCTATTGTCGTTCTTACCTCCTCGACCTTCTGCTGCTAGACATTCTATTACTGACTAGCGTTATATACCACTTATGTTCACATAAGTAGCACACACAATGGTACTAATTCAATTTTATAGTAATTAGATTCACGGTATATTGTAAACAATTGCTGAAAGCGTGTAAGTAAGCTCCAATAACAGACGTAGTTAAGTAAAACGAATATAAAATGAGTAAGCTTATGATAATAAATGATTAGTGTTTAGTTCAGCAGTTTGCACCATAGACTGGAATACACTAGGTAAAAACACAGAAGTACTGGTAAGCTGTTTTATCTTAGTACCAAACATGCCGAAAATGTATATTCATGACCACTTCAGGGATAGCATCACTGACACTTCATAACAATAAAATAGATGTAGTAGCTTCGTTTGAAGCATATATCTGATCTCATTTTTGTTTGATCCTTATAGTGTCATTCGTATTCTGTTTATCAAATTACAAGGCAACCGCATGTCTAACTGACTGACTAATTACATGAAATATGAATTATGCAGTAATGAATAAGTTTTATGTATGTATATATATCAAGATCAGCAGCATATACCATACTTATATTTGTCAGCATATATAGCATATACCACAGATGTAAACGTATGAATGAGTAGCCAAGAAATGCTTCCTGCACATTGTTAGTTTTCTCAATCAAATAACAAGTAAGTCATGAGTTTAAGAGGCGTTTATATCAGTAATTAGGTTGAATGACATTAAGACTTAACTACCATCAGTTGGGTTAAAGGCAACTCAATAGTCATTGAATTATTTTTTGTGGTTAGCGTTTTTTCTGACGTCAGATGAAGGCGTAGATGCGAGGATTGGCAAACCAAGGACAGAATTCTTACAATTGAAGAACATATGGAACTCAGAACAACTTTCAATCAATATCAAAGTCAAAATCTTCAATACAAACATCAAGACAGTTCTGCTGTACGGTGCGGAAACTTCAAGAACTACTACAACCATCATCAAGAAGGTTCAAGTATTTAAAAATGGTTATCTAAACAGGATACTCAACATCCATAGGCCGGATACCATGAGCAACAGCCTTCTGTGGGAGAGAAAAAACCAGCTTCTAGCTGATAAGGAGATTAAGAAAAGAGGTTGTAAGTGGATAGGACATACATTACACAAATAATCAAACTGCATCACGAGGCAAGCGCTAACTTCGAATCCTAATTGGAAGTGGAAAAGTGGAAGGCCAAAAAACACATTACGTCGGGAAATAGAAGCAGATATGAAAAGGATGAATAACAACTGGAAAGTGCTGGAAAGTATTGTTTGGGACAGGATTGAATGGAGTGTGCTGATGGGCAGCCTATTCTTCTCCACGAGGAGTATCGGGCGTAAGTAAGTTATAGTCATTGAATGACCACGTATGATATATTTTAAATATTCTGTAATTTAAACTACATATCAGTAACTACTATTCAATGTGAAAATCTCAACTTCTTCAAGACTGTAGATACATTTGAATGATGAACACTGATTAATATGAAACCTTGGTCAAATACAGCTTCCTGTCAGTTATTTTTTAACTGTCTTAGTTACCAACTTATCAACATAAAATACACATATTTCTTTAAAAGTTTGTAAAAGAAAAAGACTATTTCTTACACCGTTTGATTCCATTTTATAATCAATATCATAATTATTATGATTATGATTATTTGCATTAAATTTCTTCGGAGTTTTCATATTGGGTTTCGGCAAAAAATAATCATTAATTGCAATCAATAATTCAAGTACAGTATCTTTATCCCCTTCCATGATATCTGTAATAAGATTGTTTTTAGGAAAAAAAAGGAGACAGTAGATTACAATTGATATGAAACACAAGAAAATAAAATGCGTATTTCATTATGAAAGATTTATAGGGGTTGTTAAGTTTGTTTCATATTCGCTTCACTTCCATTCTTTTGCGTATCGTTTTATACTACTTATTTATATTCAGTCAACAGTTGTGTTATCAGCAATATTTGCAAACTTATGTTGAAACGCCAGTTTACATACATTTATAACGCTTATTGTATTTATCGTTGTATTTACTTTATCTTAATCACTGTAGTAGTTATCTACAGTTTGGTGCATTTGTTTTGCTCTTGGTTCGGGTTTCGCTTTTTGACAAACTTTTAGCACAGATATCAGCTGTCTTTTGTACTATGGTACGTTGTAATTATTCTTTATGTTACCGTTAAAGAAAGCTTTTTTATTTCATATGAAGGGTGCGTTAAACGCCACAGACACCTTACAACTTCAGGTTTGTAACTCATTTTGTGTAATATTCAGTAAAGAGCCACTATTCCAGACAAATCACTGTTTTGCGAACTTTGGTTTTATGCGCATCTCAATTGAGTGACATGGATGCTTCGACAGACGTAACAGTGGTAATTAGTGAGATCTACGACACATGTTTCATTCAATTTGCATTTCATCAATAGAATATGTGCTTACACTTCAATGTTAATGTTCATCAGATTGATAAATTAACTCAGAATCTCTCGACTCAGATGTCAATGGATTTAGTTAGAGCTATTGAGTCCAGATAACTAGTAAATTAATTAACAAATATGACGATTATTGTTAAGTCAGTTTTACAAACTGTGTCCTCATTCACTTGCCCTCGAATATTTTGTGTATTTTTTTATCATACTCAATAATATTCAGTAAAAAGATGTACTTCTAGTAGTTTCTATGCGCAAGTCAGTTGTGTAATATTCTGAAATATTTATATATACTTATAGCAAATGTCGTATTTATCATTATAACTACTTTATCTCAATAATTGTAGTAGTTATTCACTATCTTGTACAATCGTTTAATCATTTTTCCATATTTTTTGCTCCTAGTTCGATTTCTGCTTGTTGATAAACCGTTATGAAGTTTAGTCATAGCCAATGGTAGTCGTTTTGCACTATCGAAGACTTTTTATTTCAGACAAAAAGATGCGGTAAACGCTACAGATGCCTCACAAGTTGAGAATCTCTAATTCGAACAAGTCGTTACTTTTTGAACTTTGATTTCGCGCAAATTTAATGAGGTGATTTGGATGCTTCGAAGACAATGGTGGATATGTCGCTCAATTTCGTGAATTAGTTGATGTTAGATATTAACACCATTGGATGCCGGCCAGCTCAGTTCTCAGGTATGAGAGTGATATATCCTGTGTTTGAATCTCGCGAGTCGGGATCGTGAATGCACACTGCTCAAGTGTCCTACAATAAAACAAAGCGGCCGTCCAGTGATTCTAGGTTTTCTGTGGTGATCTAGCATCAATTGACTCATGATCTCAACTGTTAAAATTACTAAAATATCCACGAAACCCCTTCTGATACTAATTATTAGTAACGTTTTAACTTATTCATTTGCGAATATTCATGACTGAAATTTGCTCAGTGGTTGTTAGTTTATGTGCTTTTTGTGAGGATTGTCTCGATATAGCCATTGTGTCATAAGTTATTTGTTTTAATAAAGCGAAACAACTAGTGTAACAGATGGAACTGGTCAGTTGAATCGATATTAATTATAATTTTACTGTATATTTACTGAGAAATTAGTTTACGATGTATATAGATTCCATTTTTTAAACGCTTTTGAGTAACTAATTAACTACAGCTATCCGATTTATTATCTCAAAGTTATTTTCAGTTGATTGCTTTCAGTCCCTTCTAATCATAACCACTTTTGCCTCTTATTTTTCGTTTTATGGTGCGATGCTCTCCAGTATGTCTGTATATAAACCACGTCCGTTTGATTTATAAGTATATCGTAAAAGTTTGTTGTTAACTCTCAAACTGATGACTGATCATAGAAAGGAGCTTGCAAATAACAGGATAATAGGAATTTCATTCCATCTACTCAAGGTCAGTAGAACGGACTGGATGTGTAATTTCGGTCACTTTGAGGAGACTAAACTGTCAATGAAGCAGGAGGTGGAGAATGGAACAGACTGGAATTAAGGTCCTGATTGTTGACTTGGTCCACGATATGTGTCAGTGAGTCAAAAGACATTACAGCTTTATATTATAATAGACGATGATCACTCTCTAGAGATTTTAACTCAAGCAACTCCTTAAAATATAACTTTACCATTCTCTTATATGCAATACTAGAAGTGGGGATGGAATGTAAACTATGATATGCCGTACAAAACTCCTGAGACTGTATGCTGTCTTATGATTACATGGTAATTTAAATGCAAGTATTGGCCAGTTATCAATGTGACGTTGATTGTTGCCTGTCACCCTAGTAACATTCAGTATTGCATAAATTTAAGACATTGTTACTTCATTTTGGCAATAAACAGTTTTAAAAACAATCATAATCGCTATTATTTCCAACTCAGTTGACTTCGTCATGATTTAGGTATGAATCCCATCACAGTCATAATCTCTTAAACAATTTAAACCAATTACTAAAATGTACTACTTTTATAATAAATAAGTAGGCAGTCATAATACTAATAAATTTACCACTCACCTTCAGGTTGAATATTATTGATTTTTACATTCAAACGTCTTAAAACGCTAAATACTTCATGAATATTGTGTAAACGTTCCACAGTTGTAATTGGCTGTAGAAGTAACCCATCAATTTTAATTCGACCTTAAGTAAGTTGATGAAAACAGTTAAAAATTATAAGAGGATGAATAAGTCAATACAAAATGAGAATGAAAGTCACTGTTTTCAGTTATCATTACTGTTGTTAATAAACGAAATAAAACAATTTTCAAATATGCCATAAACATTTTGTGAGATTCTTTCTGTTGTCAATACTAATGACTGTAAATTATCAGTCACTTCTTGACATTGACCTAATATTACCATTAAGCTATGAACATCAAAAAGCAAGCTATAAAATGGGATCCTCAAAGTAAAATGAAAAGGAAAGGACCAAAGAACACATTGCGCTGTGAATTCCAAGCAGATATAAAAAGATTCAATAGCACTTGGTAATAACTTGAGATGAGAATCCATGAAAGAAATGAGTGGAGAGTCCTAGTCGGTGCCCTATGCTCCATTAGAGTAACGAGTGTCAGTAAATGAATAGGTTTCCAAAGCAAAGTTTAATAATGGCTAGAAGCAGAATCCAAGAAGTATATTTTTTCTGTTAAAAACTCGTCGATGTATATCCCATCACCATTACAAAGAAATTAAAACTCATTATTGTTACACAAAACATTGGTCCATTGACTCAGTAGTGAGAGGTACTTGATTCATCATCAAATAACTTTTTTTATTCCTGTTAACATAGTACATTTGAAAATTCATCCCAACACTAATGACACAAGATAAATATAAACTACTGATATCAAATATCAGTAGTGAAAAAGTCGATATGGCAATATGGTCAATTTTCATTCAAAGCACAGAATAATTTTTCTTAGTTGAAAAGACACTCTAACTCTATTTAATATTTTGTACATTCATCAGGATGGAGTTCCTGAAATCTTCACGAAAATTATGCTATCAGTGTGATTTATTGAGATTTCATCCGATCTTACAGTTTGAAACATTATGACTGATCTGAGATATCTACACTGATAAGTGACTGGGTAGCAACAAATATCGTCGCTCGCAAACACATTAAACAGTACAAACTCTATCAAGTCAATTACACTGGTAGCGAAATTGGGACTTGATTGACAGAATCCAATTGGCAACAAATAACTATTAGAAATTCCACTGATTAAAATCATGAGTCAATTGGAGCTAGACCACCATGGAAAACCTGGAAGCATTGGACGGCCGTTTCGTCCTAGTACGGGGCTCCTGAACAGTGCACATCCACGATCCCGCTCAAGAGGTTCCAACTCAGGACCTATCAGTCTCGCGCCAGGCGCTTACTCAACTAGAACAATGAGCCGGCATCCAACGGTGTTAATGTCTAACTTCAACCAATCCAAGAAGTTGTACTTCAATTGACTTATGAAATTTCTAAAAAATCTCCACAAAACCCCTTCTGAAAATAACTATTAACTATCGATACATCATCAATACATCATTTATCACGATGGCAACAATAATATTACTAATAGTAATATCTGACAAGAGAGTAACTTGGATTAGTAATAATTTGGCAAATAAACGCATTTATGTATGTATGTATATGTAGATGCATGAGTGTAGTACACTTATGACCATTTGGATAGCATCATGTAGTTTATATTGGTAGAAAAAAACACACAACAACAAATTATTGAACCTGTGTGTATGCAATACAATGAATAGTAACCATCATCAATAAATATCGTTATGATCCAATAAAGATAAGAAATTCTTTTAGATGATTATTATTTATCAATATTGAATACATGTCAACTGATCATACATGTAAATCACATCATAATATACTACTAACAGTAGTATTACTGTCATAATAGTAGTGTTATGATTAAAATAATTGGTTTACAGAATACCAGTTTATTGTATGTTAAAGTGTAAGCAAAAAGAACTGAAACTAGCATAAACACATAGTTCAGTAGTTTAATTTACTGACAAGGTATCCATTTCATATTCACAATTAGAAGAACACAGTATATTATGACTTTAAACCTAGCTAGTTATCGCATGTTGCTCAGGACAGGGTTGGATGGAGAATGCTGGTGAGCGGCCTATGCTCCTTCACGAGGAGTAACAGGTGTAAGTAAGTAAGTAAGTAAGTTATCACATGATTTATTCTTCAATCGAAATATGACTTATTCAATCTTAGTACTGTGCTCAACCAATGACGTCTGGTCGATGTGAACAGCTTAGAGTTCTTATTGGTCCTTTTACCTTCTAGCCCTGTCATTTGAGTTCAGAAGGTCAATATCAGCTTCCACAATGCAAATAATATATTTCAAACATACTTTGTTTATATATATCAAAAGGGGTTTTGTGGAGATTGAAACAATGTCATGAGTTAAATTGAAGTTAGTGGTTAAGTGCTCGCGCGCAAGACTGATAGGTCATGGCTTCGAATCTCATGAGACGCGATCGTGGATGTGCACTGATGAGGAGTCCCACAATAGGACCAACTAGCCATCCAGTGCTTCCAAGTTTTCAATGATGATGTAACATTAATCGGTTCATGATCTTAATCAAAAACTTAATATACATAAGTAAAATGTATAATTGCTAAGTAAGTAAACATCATTGACCGTTTAAACCTAAATTAGTTAAAAAGCCGGTAAGTGATAGAAAGAACATTGAAAAAACATTAATGTAAAAAAAGTCATTTATAAACAAGAAACGGTATAATATTATAATCACACAAGATTTCTGTTTTAATTCATTGGTTTTTTAAATATATAAGTCAAAGAATAATGAACTCAGAAATTATATACCTAGTTACCCATGAGTTACTTTGCACAGTAGTGAGTCCATAAATTTTTATAAAAAAAACCCGGCTCAAGGCGTTCTCGCGGGGGCAAAATTGCTAGCTGATTTGAGCACCCGGTTTAAGATCGGACTAATCCACCTCTCCTTGGTGGACTTGAATTACTTGCGGTAGACTCTTAGAAACTTTAAAATCGTGACGGGTTGCCCGATATGCTAACGTATATGAATTGCATGAGTTTCGGTTTGCGTAGTTGTGTATTTAGGTATATGAGAAAAATATGCGCCGTACTCTCAAGAGGAACATTAGCTACAATGTACGCCCTATGTCGAATATAATCAGCAGTCTAGTCCAACAAGTCGAAAGGATGACAAGGAAGAAATGATAATAAATACCAGGGAAAGGTAACCATCAACCCTTCTCGAGAGTGCTTACTTTCATGTGTATGTCAAGAAGTGCATGAACGAAAGTCTTTGTACCAGTGATATATATGTAATGCCTAAGATACAGTCAGTTTTAAGAAATACGTTTGAAAGGAGTGGTGACCATCTACACACCAAGACTTGAGGATTCTAACGGTTTCCTTACGAAATCACATCCATACAGTACGTTCTTGAGTTTGGATAAATGAATTTTAATCCGAAAGATGATGACTGAAACATCATACAATCAATATTCGAAATGAGCTACTGTGATTGCCAGATTTAAATGATTCCATACTTACAATAATGATGATCAGTTTTTTGTTATTTTTATACAGTTGATTCACAGTTCAAATCTATCTGTATCTATGTATAAACTAATCATAGGATATTACATTTAATCAATAATAATTTCAATGGACGTCCAGTGTTTCCAGGTTTTCCATGATGGTCTAACTTCAACTGACTCATGATCTTAACCATTGAAATTACTATAATATTCACAAAACCCCTTCTGAGATTCATCAATAATAGTCACTTATATTATGTATTGTTTTCATAATCTCACCTACAGGTTTGTTAATGGCATGACAACTATTTATAAAAAAAAAACTGTTTTATCGGAAAAATGTCGGATCTACATTCTACCATATTGGAAAAAGCGCACATTTTGTTTCATCTATGGATCACTTCACTGAATACATATATTTATACACAGTAAAATGTTTTTTCGAAATGAAATTCTTTCAACTAATTTCATGATTCATAAATGAGATTTATTTATAAAAGAATTAAGATTAATTATCAATTAATCTGTAAGATTTTAGTATTTGAGTCATATGTATCTAACTCCGATTCGATTGTATGAATGATTGTTATTAAGTTATTGAAATATACATCCCAACTATCCTCTTATAGAATCAATAGGAACAAAAACGGGGCAGATTTGTATGCATATAGCAGCTAGACTACAGGCGCACGTCATCACACTCAGCCTCTTATATAATCATAATCGACTTCAATCATGTTACTGAATACTTACATTACTTATTTATGCCTGTTATTCCTAACAGAGAATAGGCTGGTGTTTGTTAATAACAGAAATAAATAAGTTAAGTATGGGAATGAATTTTTGATTATGTATATTTCATAGAATTATTGATCTAGACTGACGATTAAAGAAACGAAGCGAAACGAAATGATGTATGGTGGAGAAAGCGTATAGACCAACTCGATTTATTTATAGTCAAGCAAAAATAACTTAAAGACACATGATGAATAAAGTAAGTAGTGGTTGGGAAAATTTGTACCTCAGGTGGGTGAATTTGATGGAGTTTTGTTCTCTGAACTGGATGGTTTGGTCGTGGAACTTTCATCATTCAGAAGAACAACATCATCAGCATAAACTTCAGGTAGAAGCTGATGATGTCGTTCAGAAGGACGATGAAAGCTCTACGACCAAACCATCCAGTTCAGAGAACAAAACTGCATCAAAGGTAAGTAATACACTCATACACGATCGTATAAAAACACTCATAATTGATAAGCAAATAAGTGACAAGGTTATAGTGTAAGCTTAAGATGAATGAATAAATGGGTCTGTTCAGAAATTAGAATAATCTACGTGTGCTTGACATAATGTCAGCCACTACAAGATAGTAAACAAGATTCCACTTGTTAATATACATTAACAGTATATTCATAAACTTGAAAATGTGAAGCCTTCAATACTAGGTCTTGACGGTTTAATGATACTTTATTCATTGATATACATAAAGATCTTGATTCAAGTCTGGAATAGTATCATGGTTTCATATTACTGATAAGACTTGAACTAAAACAAAACAGACACTGAAAGATTTAAATTCATGAAATGTATTAAAAGCAATCTAAAGATCTCTAGTTTTTAACGATACTTTAATACTAGTTATTCTATGCCAAATATCATCTATAAATTAAAACAATGCTTCACAACAGTATGAATTCTGAATGTTCTACTGAGAAATGATAATTGATGAACTTCGACTGTGTCGGAAGTCAAACAATCATCCCCAGTAGCATAAGCTGACCAATAGTTATACTATGGTTGTCTATCGTTTGAGAGTTCACAGTTAAATCTGAAAGCCTAGAGTTCAACCTGTGACTAAGTTGTTTGTATTCATACCGACCAAGCGTTCCATACTTAAACGAAACAACTGCTATTGAATTCAAAATTTTGATACTGTAAAGAATAAGTCATTAATTTTGATTAGCTAATAAACGATTTGTAAAATCTGTGTACTCACAGATAACTTTAGACCTTGTACGACCGTATCCAAGTGTTTGGACCTTGAGTTTCGAATTAACATTCCCTTGTCCCTGAGACTATTATCAATCCGGTTTTGTTTGACCGTACCTCCATAGTATGAGGAATCGATGAGCACCAACCGTTTAAATACTTCTAGGAGCTCGACTGAATCTCTATTACTTTTAATATTTTTTTTCTCTATGTTATCATCCCTAATCCTATGATATGTAGTCACTGGCCTAGTGATTCGAAAATGTAGGTATATTTTGGTGAATAGTTGAAATCTACTGTGATGACTATCATGATTTAATTTAATGCTAGTGTTAACACATAGCGATAAATTCCATCTGAGTACAACAAAAAAATAGACATTAGGACGGAGCTATTCAGGCTATGGCTGATTCCCATTTTGGGACTAAATGCACAAACATACTTTGCTAAAAAGTACTAACTAATACATAACCTTACTGCCCCTTGTGTAGCGTAGCTCGGCAACCAGGATTCCTTGATTAATCCACCACTAAACATGAATATTTATCTTCTATTTTTTGTTGCTAAAACAAATAGACTGATCAATTTCATAAGGCTGTCTGGAGGTTTTTTCTTCAAATTTTCTTATCTTTCTATGAATTAAAAATCCGCCTGGAGTCCCTTCGGGGGCTACTGCCGATCCCAAGCCCGGATAAAGGAGGAGGGTTGGGCATGGGGTTAGCGACAACATCCCGTAGAAAACTAACTCGCTAAAAAAACGCTAACCAGAAAAAATTATTCAGATTATTACTCAATGAACTGACAGGAACGCAAACATAAACCAAACTGTTGAGTTAATTTGAGAATCAAATATTCTTTTCGATCACATGTCAATTAGGAATAATAAGACCTAGTTATCTATATCTCAGAACAAATGAAAGAATAATTTTATATTTCATATTCTTCTTCTACTTACTCCATTATTAAAGTATCATACTGTGTAATTGCATTTAATCAATTGACTAGTCATTTCAGATACTGCACACCCACACACACACACACATACATACAGCATAGTTAGTTGGTCAGCCATTCTCATGATAGAAAACTGGGTATTAGTATTCGTTAGTCTAAATTGTTACAATTTACAACACCCAAAATAGAAAAGGATAATCAGAAGGAGATAAAATTTAAAACAAGACGGAACAAATCTGACCGAAGAACGAAAATCTATTTACAATTAGATGATCACTGAGTAGTGACCAATGTCATTAATGTCGATCCCTTTTTAGTGCTGATCAAATTCTATGAATTAAGCTGCGATGTAACTACTAGTTTAAGTGACTTACCATCTCGAACATCGTATTGGAGTGTAAGGTAGTTGTTGGAGGTAATCGGCAAAAAATCCTGCTTGATCTACGTTTCATGCTATTGGGCACTCATTATTAATGTGTACCTGTAATCTTGGGGAAATTGATGTTTGCAGGCTGACAAGATCCCATATTGTCCAGCTTTAAAGTTAGAGACGTTACCGTTGAGTAATTCAATCCAAGAGTGAGCTCATGTAGGACTGCAATATATATCCAAGGAATTATCTACCACTCAGTTATCAATTAATAGCAAACAATCATGACTTTTTATGAATTTTTTTCTTTGAGCTAGGGGTTTTTATCGTGTACCTTTATTGGAAAGTACCATGCTCCTCTGGTACTTTGATAATGTTCATATGGCTTTCCAGCCACTTAATATGCCGAAAGTGTTGTTCAAAAAAGTTGTATGCTATGTGTATGATTTCCTCTGATACACACGGGTTCTTAGTACCTGTATCGTTACACAATAGGATTAAGCTGTTCTGTCCAAGTCAAATAAAAGCTTAGATAGTGTTTGGTCTTCCTGTTGACTACCTTCAACCACCATCTAATCTCAACATAGTGCACGCAATGTCGAGTCACCTAGACTAGTGGCCACATTGCAACTTGGTCGATATCGATCGATCTGCACTAAGAAGGACTTGACACACATCACATCCATCACTACCCGATGATCAATCAATTGTGACAACATAAAATTACTTTTCTGCAGAGTATATTTATCTAATCCACTTCTCCCTGTTGCAATGCATATGATTAAGCTGTCGAACTTAGGGGAAGTCACCCTAAAAAAGTCATTCTATTAAACAAGCAATAAGTTTCATTATTTAAAAATCATAACTTACCAATAATTTCTAATAGTATTCCAATAGCTACACCATTACAGATAATTTCTTCAGTTAAATCATACACAATTAATGGAGGTGTAGCCTTAGTTAAGTGATCATTTAACCATTTAATATAGGCTTCTTCTGTTGATTGAGACTAAAAGAAAGAAGTTTGAGGGAACAATATACATATCATTTCAAAAAGTAAAGTCTAGCGAAGAGATGTTCTTTAAAAAATCACTGTAGAGATTCAATACATTAAGTGGTGGATGTGTCGCTCAATTTCTTAGATTAGCTGAAGTTAGATATTAACACCAATGAATTCCGGCTCAGTGGTCTTGAGGTTAAACGTTCGTACGTGAGACTAATAGGTCTTGGGTTCGACTTCCCTGAGCGGAATCGTGGATGCGCACTGCTGAGGAGTCCCACAATACGACGAAACGGCCTTCCAGTGCCTCCAGGTTTTCAATAGTGGTCTAACATCAATCGATTCATGATCTCAACTATTAAAATTTCTATAACATCCAACAAACCCCATTCTGACATTAAGAATAGTTTATGTCAGTTTGAAATAGAATTGATTATAAATCTTAAACATTGTCAACATGCACCTTTTTGATATACTTCATGGTTAAATGGGGGAAATCATTTCTAAATTAAAGAACAAATGGAAGAAAGTTCATGAATGGAAATTCAGACATATGTTTCATTCTATTTGACACTAGTCAGTTCATCGTATCTACATCTTGATGTTGAATATTATTAAAAAGAAATTACAAATTCCTACGAATACCATCATATCAGTTAGTATCAGTAGATTAATGGACAACTAGCTGACATTAGAAGCAACAAAAAACACCGAGTTCGCTTCTCAGTAGAATAAACATCAAAATTAGGAAACATTTACAACGATCCTTCAAGATTCTACTATTGAAAAAATTGTAGATAACGGCTTTATGGAGACAAGCTGCTCAGGATACACACATAACAGAAAAGACTAAATAAGTACAGTCCTGAATATCAAAAATGGGAACTTAAAAAATAAATATTATTAAAATAAAATATCAATCTAAGTTAGACAACCGAAGATAACTTGGAAGCACTGAATAGCTACCCCATCCTAGTATGGGACTCCACAGTAGTCTACATCAACGTCCCTGCCACTTGGGGTCAAATTCAGGATCATCGATATCGTATGTGAACACTTAACTTTTAGACCACTGAGCTGTAATCTAATACTATATATACCTAATTTCAATCCATCTGCGATACTAATCGATCATCCTTCATCATCTTCACTGAGTACCTTTTTTTACACTGGACAAAGTTGAACTCCATTGATCCGAATATCTCATGAAATGATCAGTACTAAAGAAACCCACACCAAGACGAAATCATCGTCCAATCCTTTTTGGTTTTCAGCAGTTGTCTAACTTAATCTAAATTTTAAAAAAACCCACCATGACTTCATACTGATCATTAGCAGATATACAAATTATATCTTTCTAGATACATTTGAACATTGATATTAAAGTAGTTTCATTCTTTCTTTTTTTTCAATTTTCCATTTCTTTTTTACTATGGTAATGAATAAGTTATTTGACTTTAAAGATTACTACTGTACCCTTTAAGTTTCAGTTTTATCCAAATTGATTTTAAAGTTGTAACATAACGACTCTACTGGAACGAATTTGTTAATGATGGAGTTTTTTTCTAAGAGCTGGATGGTTTGATCGTGGAGCTTTCATCGTTCTTCTGAATGACATCATCAGCACAAACAGGCTGTGAAACTCATATGGAGAAATTCGAACACTTCACTTCTATCCGAAGTTTGTGCTGATGATGTTGTTCAGAAGAACGATGAAAGCTCCATGTCCAAACCATCTAGCTGAGAGAACAAAACTCCATCAAAATCATCCACCTGAGCTACAAATCTTCTCCACTATCTCAAATTTGTTAATACATTCAAGGTCTTATTTACTTATTTGTTAAGTAATGGGTTTCACACATAAAATAACCGAAGATGAAGACTTTTGAGAAAGTTTATTGATAACGGGAGGTGACTAAAATCTAATACTAAATACACATTTTACTATGCGGATTAAGTACTCAACTGACTACATGAACGAGATATATAAGCGCTCTAATCCTTAGGAAATTAATCCATTTCTTAGTTAATGAAATCCAATTATCTTTTAGACCATTTCTGATTGCTATCGATTGACCATTATCATTAGGTTAATTCTGATGGGCTCTCTACACTAGTAAGCTAATGAATAACTTTGAGATGGATTCCGCTTATACTAAAGTGAAAAATCATAGCAGGAATTAATGAATACCAAATCGATCATAGGACAAATATCATTTGTAGGTTTGGAATATAGTTTCCTTTTATTACAAATTTACAATCTATGTATTTAGATATTAAGTTAGTGATCTGAATACATTGTATTTGCTATAAAATATATAAAGTCATGAGTATGATTTAATGTAATGTTTTGATTGAATAGTTTAGTACTTTCTGGTTCTTAAATGATTCTGAGATTTTGTTTAACCCTTTGATAAAATGTAAATGGAGATTGTAATAATATCAATAGTTGAAATCATGAATCAATTGAAGCTGAAGAGCCCTATAGTAGGACGAAACGGTCGTCCAGTGCTTCCAGGTTTTCCATGCTGATCTACATTCAATTGATTCTTAATTTCAACTATTGAAAATGTAAACAATTTACAAAAAAAATGCAACCGTAGTTACCATGTCTTCTGATGGGATATTTTGTTACTACATAGAAAATGTAAGTGAAGTTTTATCAAATTAGCAATGTAAATTCTTTCTTTCTACCTACTCCTCTATCTCTCTCCCACACTCTCTTTCTGTCTCTGTCTCTCTCACATTCTATATTGTCAACAGTTCCAGACAAAGAGATGAGACTATAATTTATGTACGACCTTTGAGTGACGACGCTAAAGTTACCTTGAGAGTGTTCACCTCTTAATTAGGACCAAATGAGGATTATAAACCTATGTGAGCAATTAGGATTATGATTTACAGTTGATGGTTAAGGTTAGAAATTAGATTTAGGGTTTTCATCACGAACTGTCATCAGCTGAAATGTTACAACTCTATTTGTCTGAATGGATGAATGAATTCCGCGCCGAAAACCGAGACCTGTTATCTTATACGTGATTGGTTCGTCCATAAATTATAGTCTCGTCGGTAAAAACACAAATTAGATTACTTTAAAAGTTCGTTTGAATTTTACTAAAGCATAAATTTTGAAGCATTTATTATATTTGTTGTTGTGTATGCTACTTATTTTAAGAGTAATAAGTAGTATGTAATACCATTCAGAAGTGGAATGCATGAAGTAAAAGATTGAATTGAAGGGAACAAAGGAAGGGAAACAGGAAGTAATTGTAACAACACCTGAATTAGAAAGAATCCTATAGCATATAAAAGACAACTGAAGGTAGATGTCCAAGTGATGTATTTGAATAAGTGGTACTACAATGAAAACGTCATTTAAGGTAAACAAAAATTGACCAATTGACTGATTGTAGTTATTGTGATCATGAGACTTTTAGTTTTTCCAACAAACATGAGACAATCAAGTGTTTACTGGATATTTGACAGAATAACAGTTTTCTGATTCATATCATGTACAGTATGGTATATAAATGTGTTTCGTTGTAGGTGTGGGCATGTGAAAATTCTTTACCAGGGATAAAAACACTTATACGATGATTTTCAATGGCTTTTTGTTGTCTGATAACAATTTGTGAATAAGCTAACTTTATATCATTATGAACAGGGGTTCGAATTAGCCCTTTGATGATATTCGGGATTAAAGTTTTGGCCAGTCTTTATTGGTATATATGAACACTGTACGGATTGCTTCGATAAAGCTAACTTGTCACAAGTTTGTACGAAATAGGCTGATTGTGGAAAGCAGTGAAATCTATGGAGCTTAGTATTTCATCATACTTGAGACTTTTCAGTTTGATATACCTCCACCCCAGTATTGATAATCGAACCGAAACTCGGACCCAATACCTTTCGTTGTAAACGCTAAGGTTTCATAAGCTGAGCTTCTGTTACAAGAAAACCACTAACTGATTAAGAAGCTAAAAGGTTTATCTCATGATTATCAAGAATTTGATTTATCTTTTTATTATTATTCATAACTGATTTTTTCAATCTACATTTCTTAGTACACAATTACATGTATCTAATGAGATGCAAATAGAACAGAGCATAAATTCTGCATTCCATTACCAGCCACACTTTTGTAAACAATTAGACTTCAGAAGGGGCTTTTTGTGGATATTATAGTAATTTCAGTAGTTAAAATCATGAGTCAATTAAGGCTAGACCACCGCCTCGCGAGATTCGAACTCAGGACTTATCAGTCCCACGTGCGAGCGCTTAACCTTAAGACCACTGAGCTAGCCACCCTCCAACGGTATTAATGTCTAACTTCAACTAATCCAAGAAATTGAGTGACACATCCACTATTGTCTTCAGTGCAGGATCGTGGATGAGCACTGCCACTGACGAGTCCCACAATAGGATGAAATGACCTTCCAGTGTTTCCAGGTTCTTCATGGTGGTCTAGCTTCAACTGACTCATGATCTTAACTAATAAAATTATTATAATATCCACAAAACCTCCTTCCTTATATACTTTAATCTTTTGAAGCCATTATTAGTTTAACTAATAAGATTTCTTCTCACTAATTTAATGGAACGATTAACAGAAACAATACGAAAAATACAACAAAAAAAGACATTTGTATTGATGTTAACTATCACAGCATGTTTAAGAAGAAGAAGACAAAAGAACGACAAAAGTTTTTCTATGATAAATGAAGATGTTCAACTGATTAGTGATATCTATATATGGCTAAATGTAATACACAAAACTAGTTACAATATATTTTTGTCATCTTACTGACTACGACTTCGGTTTCATCAAAATAGAGAAAGAGAGGGAGAGAGAGAGCTAGAGAGAATCGATCAACTTTTAGGATTATATTCGATAGTGTTTATTATATGTTAGTGAATACACACAAACTAAGGAAACAGTATAATATAATAATATTTGTCAATATTATGGATAGAATACATGTGTAACTGTAGGCGTCATTGTGTGTGTG